AACGATCTAGGGCTCCGAGAAACCTTCCTCACTTCCTCGCTGACCTCAGCCTTGATGACCTGGCACTGCAACTCCACGAGCAGAACTGCTCACACACGCGTGCATACACGCGTGTGCACACGCCTGTGCCCTTCTCTGAAACAACGACAACCACACAGTGTCACATTAAACTGTCAGCTCTGGATGTTACCTGACCCTGAGGATGCCTTCACTGGATACTTGGTTGACGGCAGGTGTGACCACGAGGAGGGTAGAAACGAGAACACAGTGCAGCCCTGCGGCTACCAGAGGCTGAAGTCAGGGACGTGCAGGAGGTGCACTGCAACTCCACGAGCAGAACTGCTCACACACGCGTGCATACACGCGTGTGCACACGCCTGTGCCCTTCTTTGAAACAACGACAACCACACAGTGTCACATTAAACTGTCAGCTCTGGATGTTACCTGAGCCTGAGGATGCCTTCACTGGATACTTGGTTGACGGCAGGTGTGACCACGAGGAGGGTAGAAACGAGAACACAGTGCAGCCCTGCGGCTACCAGAGGCTGAAGTCGGGGACGTGCAGGAGGCCGGGACGGGCTCTCGGCCGTGCTCTGGTGGAGGGGGCTTTCCTCTGCTCCCGCCTGCCCTCCCCTCTTCTCTGCTCTCCGTCTCACTGACCCCCTTCCTTCACAGTTTTCTCCGAGCCCCTTTCTGCCTCCACCTATGTCACTCATTTCCTGTGTCTGATTTTTCCTAGTCTTGAACAGTCACATCGTGTATGTGGTGACGTCCCAGTAAGAGCACACGTAACAACAGGAGCACACTCCATGTGCAGCTGCAGGCTTTACAGTTCACGAAGTGTCTCCGTGTTCATTTCCCACGTGACCTCCTGTGACTAGATCAGGGCTGGTATTTTTTATGCTGTTTTACAGATAAGGAAGCAAAGCCTCAGAGCAATGACGTTTCCAGTGTCAGATAGTTTAGGAATGATGGAGCCAGAACTTGAATCAGAAACCTGTAATTTTCTGTTTTGATTTTTCCAACAACCCCATACATGGATTTCTATTTCTATTAAGGAAAATAGTCATTTCCTTTTATGGCCAGGAACAAGCTGCCTTCCCCGTTACGACAGTTTAAATAAGAGATTCACACTGATGTCCCAGCTTCTTCTTATAATTCCAAAAGTCATTTTGCTCAGACACACACACCACAAACACATGCACAAGCCACAGAAACACCGTCCTGCTTGATCTTTGTGACCTCTTTCAAATATTGCCCTGAGGCTGGAAATGCCACAAGGAGTGGGGCTGTTTTCTTTGGGGGCTGTCTGGGTTGGCTGGTCTCTGGTTTTCACTGGGTGAACAGCAGATTGGTCCCGGAGAGAGACGAAGCACAGACAGCAGGGCAGGGGTGCATGGGAGGAGCCATGAAAAGGTCCTGGTGTAAGACTGTACGGCTGCAGCTGTTGGAAGCAAGGGCTCTTACTGCAGCAGGCATGGAATTTAATCTTAGCTTTGCTATTAATCGTGACCTTGGCGTAGTTAATTAACCTCGATGAGCCTCAGTTTTCTCATCTGCGTAATACCAGTATCTACCTTATTGGGTTACTGTGAGAACTAATCAAAATACCTACCCAGTGCCCAGAACATATTAAGCATTCAATAAATATTAGCCATTTGGTCACATTATTTACAGTGAGTTGGAATCCCTGCTCCCCTTTCACTATTTTGAAACTTTGTATAAACCATTCTGAGCCTTAGTTTCCCCAAATTATAGCTGCTTACTAGTGCTGTTGGAAGAATTAGATGGGCTCCAGAGAGGTTTTGTGACCTGTCAAATATCAGGACAACAGTGCAATAATGTTGCTGAACAACATTTTGTAGGAAGATATACTGAAGATGTGGCTGCTACTGGTGGCAAATGGGCCAAGCACACACAGGCACTTTTGTCCAGGTTCTTCTTGGCACTATGTATTCTGAAATCTTCATGATTAGATGGGCAACAAAGGTCTACGTAAGAACCTCCCCCGTGTGGTTAAGCGGCCAGCACTAAATCCTAAATTCATTGGAATTACGTATGGATGGCCCAAACATGTGGATTACTGAGAATTTCCAATATAGTCTTGAAAAATGTAAATTTGCTCTTTTGTTCTCGATCTGCTCCATGTTCATTTACTTTTGTTTTTTTTTTACTTTTCAGAAAATGTTTTTATTTAGGAGAGTTGAGGGAGTTTATCTGTAGAAGAAACATATTCCCTCTAGCTCCCACTAACATTACACTTCTCAGGAAACAGCCCCTGTGAAAAAAAGTCATTCCAGTTTTTTTCTATTTAAAGTTCCCCTTTTCTCGGGGTTGCTAGAAATACACTACAAGAAAGGCTAAAAATAAACTTGCCTACAGAGATCTGAAACAGAAATAGCTTCTTTCCTTCACAAACAGCAGCTTGGGCCTGAGAGCTCATGGGAGCAATCCTCGGGCTGCTCAGAGAAAACCAATTTCCCTTCCTCAGCCTAATCTCATCAGAGCTGGAGAACATGGGTTTTGAAAGTAGATGCGCTTCTTTTATTTTTTTGGACTTTCATGCTGATTTTTCTTCGTCACCTTCAGTGTGGCTTCAGCATATCCTCTACAGGCTGTGGCACTGAAAGGAGATTGATTGACATCTGTCTCTTGGCCGTTTGAGACATCTGATGGCTCTTTAAGCTGGCCAGGTCCTTTCAAGAAATACATTGGGTCTACACATATTCTGGACATATAATCCATACTTATAGAATTCTATTTTTTAATTTACTCATTTATTACACGTTTAGTCAGTGCTCACCACCTGCTAGGCCCAGTTCCAGGTGCTAGGAAGAGTAAAAAAAACAACTTCATCTTCGTGGAGCTTACGTTTTAGCGATGCAGGACTGTATTAGTCTCTTGCATTGCTTATAACAGAATACCTGAAACTGGGTAATTCATAAGAAAACGAAATTTATTTCTTACAGTTTTGGAGGCTCGGAAGTCCAAAGTCCAGAGAACACATCTGGTGAGGAACTTCTTCCGGGCTGGAACTCTCTACAGTGTCCCAGTCTGTTTCTGTATCTAGTATCAGCTTGCAATGTGGTAGCATGAACTTTAAAAAACTGGCTCTTTTTTCTCTTGCTTAATTCTCACAAAGGTATACAGGGAAAGCCTAAATTCTGAGACACACTCTCAACTCCATTTCCACACCCTTCCTTATTTATTTTATTTATTTATTTGTTTATTGCATAAACCTTGTGCTCATTATTCCCAAGTTACTCTCTGGAAACCCTTTTCCTACTGTCGATCTCCTGCAATGAGGATTCTCCACCCAGGCTGGATTCCTCTTAAAGTGTGTCACACTCCAGAACTACCCAATCTGGAGAAAATGCTTAACACGTGCTGCCACTCCATGCTTGCAGCATTGGAGTAATTGGTAATGTGTTTTAGCATTTGGGGTGTCTCTTGCTATATCCAGGCACAGCTTACAATTCTTTCTATTGATAGCACTTCAGATGTCTCCTAGTTAATGAGACGGCACACTAGAAAATATCTATTTCACATTTTTTACCTCATCCACCTACTGCTTCCACCTTTCACTTTTCATCATTTAAAAATTACAAAACCAAACCAAAACCTTAACTTCCCTCAGTTAATGTGATTAAAACATGTCAAGGTAGAAGTGACTAATGTGTTTAAGGGAATAAGTGTATCTAAGGGTAGAATTCTCTGCCTGGGGAAATTCTAAGCATGTGACAGAAGAAGAGCACCCCGGAGTATGAAAAACATGGTTTGGGGCAATGCTTCAGTCTGTTCCTGCTGCTATAACAAAATATATTAGACGAGGTAATTTGTAAATGACAGAGCTTTGTCTCTCCTACTTCTGGAGCCTGGGAAGTCCAAGATCAAGGTACTGGCAGGCTCAGTTTCTGGTGAGGGTCCTGTCTCTGCTTCTAAAACAGCACCTTGAATGCTGTCTCCTCAATGACAGGAGGGACAGAGGGCAATAGGAGGAAAAGGGCCTGCATACTTCCCTCCAGCCCTTTCATAAGGGCATTAATTCCATTTACGAGGGTGAGGCCCCACCGACTAATACCATTGTGTTGGTGATTAGGTTTCATCACAAGAAGTCTGGAGGGCCACATCCATTCAAACCACAGCAGGCAGCTCTTCCAGGAATGTTAGAAGGCGTCTTCTATGCTACAGTCTGCCCCTGCACCCGCCTTGATAACAAGGGGAAAGAATGAATGTGAGAGATGGAGCTGTATGGGTAGCATCCTGGGCTTTTTCGTTTTCTTTTTTTCTGTCATCAAGGTGGGATTCTAAGAAAAGTGAGTACAAAGGGATCTCAATGGCCTAAGGACAATCACCGTGAACTTAAAATGCAGCCCTCAATGTCATTTGTCATGCAGATGGTGTCCCACTTCTTTGGCCCAACAGTGGATCCAGGTGGTTACTTTGCTGGCGAGGGTCACCTGGTATGTTTCTTACTCTAGGAAGCTTCTCCCCTCATAAATCTGGAAAAGGCTACAGAGACCTCATGCAGAAAACAATTGAACGATACTTACCCCGACAGAAAGATACGGATGACTGCATAAAATATGTCTGGATCTACGTAATCTGGAGAAGCAATCAAAATGTGAACTTTACTACAGGCAAAAAGAGCAATTGGTTCCACGTGCAGGGGCCCCACCGCCCTCCTGGGGCTGCCTCTTCCATCTGATCTGCACAGAGACAAGGAAAGAAAGGAGCCCCAGAGGAGCTGGAATGTTCTCTTCTGTGGCCCCCTCACAGCGCCTGCAGAGCTTTTAAACTATTCCACATGCCGCCCTTTCTATCTGTGTACTTCCCATTTCTCTACCTAGTACAGAAAACAACAACAAAAAAGACAAGGCCTTCTTTAAAAATTTAATATTTTAAACAGACAATATTTGAACGAATGTGGGAAGTGAAGAGAAGAAAAGCAGAGAGAACCACCTCTCTCAAGGCTTCCACAAGAGAAAAAGAGTAAATTCGTCAATTCACAAGCGAGGGTCTGAGTAGGTAACACAGAACAAAGGAGTGGAGCCCTCTTGCCCAGAAACTGCCCCACCAGGTCGACAGCTCCACGTTCCGCTGCCCTCATTAACACGGGCAGCTGCTTTTGAATCTATGCCAATGCTTGGTGATAATTGATTCTACCCGTTTATTAACTTACATATATGGAAGCATTTTCTCTTATTTGTGCTAAATTTCTGTTTATTAACTTTTGGAGGTTGTTCTCTCTCCTTCATGTAATGGGGTCCCTCTAAATTCTGTGACCTGGTGGATGTTCATCCTTTCCAGATCCCTGTCTGTGTCTCTTTGCTTCTGAGAGAAAACAAAATATCCCTTTGATGAGCACTGTGCGTTCACATCCCCGTCCCACCCATTTCCCTTTTCCACACCACATGTGGCCTCTGGGGCCCGTGGGCCCAGGTGACTCCCGTCTTCCTTCAGCCTCCTGCTGTCCAATGCTCCTTGGGAGCACCATGTACTCTCTGCTCATATGTGACAATGCCCCCATGTAATGGACTTTTCTCCGGGCCCTACTTCTGGAACTTTCCCATTTGGTCCTTGGCTCCTGCCGAAACTGCTGAGTACTTTAATATGTTAAAAGTATGCTAAAATTATGCTGAACTGCTGAGTACTTTAATATGTTAAGTTAGGTAAAATATTAAATATTTTATTAAATATTAAAGTATTGCCAGTCATTACAACTTCAGCCAAAAATAAACTTTTGTATGTAGCTTTTGGCTGAAGTGGTAATGACTGGCAATATTTTAATATTTTACCCAACTAAAGTACAAAAAGTCAAATGCTCATTTTAATGGATGTAAATTATCTTTGATGTAAAATAACTTCAAGAGATGTAAAAAAAAAAGATCCACTTTGATTAAAACAAACAAAGAAAAAACTTCGCTTAATTAGAAATAAGAGGGAACATACTTGAACTGACACAAAGAATCCACAGAAAGCACATAGTACATATTATACTTAATGGCAAAATATTGAAAACCATTCTTTTAAAATGTGGAACTAAACAAGGACCAGCTCTTCTACTCAATACCGTGTTAGAGGTCCTATCCAGAAGAATAAGAGATAAATAATAAAAGTAAATAAAAGTTATGAGTATTATAAATGAGGGAAGAAAACACTACACTCTTCTCAAATAATACTATTTATACATAGAAAACCCAGATAATCTACAGAGAATTATTAGAATCAATAATAGTATTTACCAAGGTTCTGGACTCAAGGCTAATATTCAAATATCAGTTTCATTCTACAAACTAACAATGAATAGTTAGGAGGTAATTAAATTTTAAAATACCATATTCACTAGAAACAAAATACCAAGTAATTATAAATAAATCAGAAGAGGGACAAGCTGCTTACCTTAAAAGAAATTAAAGAAAAAGTAGTAAATGAAAAGATATACACTTATGTACCATGTTCATGGACAAGAAAATTCAGTATCAATATCTAAAAGAAGAAATGTGTCAAAGAGAAGAGCTCTCTATCTGGGTATGTTTCAGACCATGGAACAAGAAGAATGTCCAGCAGTAGGAAGATGTGATTTGGGATAGTTCATTCAGGAACCTTATTTAATATTTTATGCTATTCTCTGCCTCTCCATCCACCTTGTTCACAAGACAGAAAGACTGACTATAACATCAAAAGTGCGTCATTTCCTCCAAATTAATATACATATTCAGTGCAATTTGAGCAAAATTCCCAACAGAGATTTTTAAAAATGGAACTGGATCAGCTGGGTCTAACAGTCTGCGGGAAGGCAAAGGGTCAGGAAAGCACCGCGCTCCTGCAGAAGAGAGGCAACACAAGGGGCTCGTACTGCTTGCAAGTGCGGAGGACTACGACGCTGTAGGCCCAGGGAAAAGACAAACAGTGAGAAAGAGTAGAGGGTTTGTGACAGATCCACTAATTTAAGAAAAAGAAAGAAGAGAGCCTAGGGCCCAGGTTAGTATGGTTATGTGGCCATTAATGGAGTCAGAGCTAGAACCCGGTCTTCTGATTCTGAATCTGGTATTCTTTTCATGATCACCAGCTGATTTATCTGGGACAATTTCAAGCAAACAAGTAGGGAATATATTTTGGGGGCTGACTCTCAACACCGTTCTGAGAAAACCAAGTAGAGAACTTCCTCTTTTACAAACAAGGAGCTGGTACCAGAATTATGAAGTACGGATTACTAAACAACCATACTTACTATGCTTAAGAAAACTAATAGCAAGCTTGAAAATATCTATAGAAAACAGAAAATTACAAAATAATAAAATGACCTAAAAAACTAGAAAAGAATCAAATAAAATTTTGGCAATGAAAAATAAAATAATCTACTCAATGTATGTATTTAGCAGCAGATTGGAAGCAGATGAAGAGAAAATTAATGAATTAGACGAGAAGAATTAATCTAGAATGCAGCACAGACAGACAAAGAGACAGAAAATACAGCAAGACTAAGAGAATGGCGGACAGGGCAGGAAGGTCTGACTTTCTCGAAGTTCCAGTGGCAGAGGAGAAAAGAATGAGAAATAGGCAATTTGTGAAAACTTGAGCATCATGAAACCTAAGTATAATAAACGGAACAACACACAAGGTTAACAGATACAGAGAAATTCCTACAAGCAGACAGGGGTAAAAGATAAACTGACAACCAATGTCTCAACAGTGACAATGGAAACCAGAAGACATTGTACTGATACATTCAACATCTAAAAGAATATAGTTGCTAGAAAAACACCCTTCAGGAATTGGAGTGAAATAGGGCAATCTTTAGTTAGGAGAGTTTGCCACCAGCAGACACTCACTAGAAGAATCTAAAAGGATGCACTCCAGGCAAAAGAAATGTGTATAAAAGAGTGAAGAGCAAAGTTTATGAACATGTGAGTAAGACAAAGTGAACTGCAGCCACGTGAAACCATAATAATCATTATAGGGTTTTAGGTAGTATTGATGAATGATATATAATTGAAGTTCTTCTTATATCCCTAAGAAATATTCTGTAAAGATTTGCAAAAATCTTCAATGTTTTGAGCTGGTTTTTGTGGGCATGTGTGTATATGTTTCCATATTTGACATATAGACATGATAAAATTTCATTTAAGGTAAGCAATAGTGGCTCAAATGGCTTGAATATATTCAGATTGCTATGTATAACTAATCCACGAGCAAAGACAATCTTTAGAAATATTGTCATGATTTTATTATCATGTGGAATTTCACAGAGAAGAATTCCAGTGTTAATTATTATCCAATTGAGTTTAGACAAAATAAGTTCACAAGTTAAGATGAAAAATTCCTTTAACAAAACTAAGTGAAATAATCAGATAAGAACAGCAGCAGAAACTCACACTGCAGTTTAGCCCCAACTTGCTCATTAAGAAACCTGATTCAAACACATGTACCAATCATTAGAAGAAGACATTGTGACTCCTCTTTACCATTAAAAGAAAAATTCTTACAGCTGCCATTGGGTCAAGCAGAAGCTGGAAACTCTGTGGATTCAGAAGGAAGTAAAGGCAAAAATTTCCATGGCTTTTTAGAGAGAAAATATCCTCCAGCTTTTCTAAAAAGAAAATTAATTATTGGAGAACAGGAGCTACCAAGAAACTTGCTAGGGCTGGCTAGTGAGCTCAGCTGGTTAGAACATAGTGTTGTAACATCAAGGTCAAGGTTTGGATTCCTGTACCAATCAAGTGCCAAAAAAAAAAAGAAAAGAAAAGAAAAGAAACCTGGAAAAAACATGTCTGTCAATAATCCAAATGCCTGAAAATCTGAAAATGGTTTAGCCTTCTATTGGATCACAAAGCTCAGACCTGGTGGAACTCTGTGTAAACCACTAGTTTAAAAGGAGAGTTGGATCATACTGCCCAATGTGATCTACAGGTTCAATGCAATCCCTGTCCACAATACCATTGACATCATTCTTCACACAAACAGAAAAAACAATCCTAACATTTATATGGAAAAACAAAAGACCTTGAATAGCCAAAGCAATCCTGAGCAAAAAAACCCCTAAAACAAAAAACAAAAAAAGAGATAACGCTGGAGGCACAAAATTACCTGACTTCAAACTATACTACAAAGCTATAATAACCAAAACCAGGATGGTTCTTTTATAAAAACAGACACTCAGACCAATGGAACACAATAGAGAACCCAGAAATCAATCCACAGACTTACAGCCAACTGATCTTTGATGAAGGTGACAAGAACACACATTGAGAAAAGACGGCCTCTTCAATAAATGGTGCTGGGAAAACTGGGCATCCATATGTAGAAGAGTGAAACTAGATCCATACTTCTCACTGCCTATCAAAATCAACTCAAAATGGATCAAAGACTGGATATAAGACAGGAAACTATAAATCTCCTAAAAGAAAACATTAGGGAAACACTTCGGGAAGTAGAACTGGGCAAAGACTTCATGAATAAGGCCCCAAAAGCACAGGCAACAAAGGAAAAAATAAACAAAAGCTTCTGTACAGCATAGGAAACAATCAACAGAGCAAAAAGACAAGCTACAGCATGGAAGAAAATATTTGCAAACTATGCATCCAACAAGGGATTCATATCCAGAATATACAAAGAACTCAAACAACTCAGCAGTAAAAAAAAGTAACACCATTGAAAAATGGGCAAAAGAGCCAGTAGACATTTCTCAAAGGAAGATACACAAATGGCCAACAGATACATGAAAAAATGCTCAACTCAGCACTCATGACTAGTAGTACAACTCTCAAAACAAATATGTCGGTGTGGGGAAATCTGCCCTTTGGGAATGAAGGGAGGTGGTGCTAGGACCTCCCCAGACCATCAGCTCCTGAAGAGGATGCTCAGGGCAGCAGAGGGGCCATGCTGGAAATTAATCTCCTCTGTGTGATCTGAAGACACCTGTGCTGTTTCTCCAGTCGTCTTGATATCCTTAGTCATGAACTCCGGTGTCTTGGCAAAGCTAAAATACATCTCATCTCACTTTAGCTTGGCAAAGCCAAAATACTCAAAATACTCCTGTTTGGCAAGAGACCTACTGATGTGATCACAAGGGCCTCAAAGGTAAAATTCCAGGAAACGGAAACAGTGCAAATATAAAATGTAACCCAGGAAAGTTATAGAATGAAAATAACCCATAATCCTGTGATTGCAGGTGGATTTCTACTAGTGCAGAGAGTCTGGATTGACAAGTGATTTTACTCTTTTGATACAAGGCATTGAAGTTCAACACTGCCTAGTTTCCTTTTCCCTCCCTCCTGTCCAGTCTCCTGTAAACACTCTTTTTCCAGAATCTCTCTTTCTTTCAGTGAAGCAGGATTCAGAGAAACAGATACTTAAACTCTGCTTTCCTCTTGTTAATGGGTCACATCCCTCTCCCACCCTTTCTTTAAACACATGTCAGTCACATTTTTTAGATTCCTCTGATAAAGGAAGTTGAAGAGCCTCCCAGACATTGGAGACTGAATGTAGTAACCATAAAAGTGTGTCACTGATCCGGGAAGTGTGGGCCCCATAACTGGACGCACCTATGACTGTCTGTGCCTGCACTAGCCCCAACAGAGGAGCAAGGTCAGTCATCTCAGGAACCAACCGAGAGAACAGAATAAGTCGGCATCTGAGAGCGAGAAGAGAAACTCCACCTCACAGTTCCGCCCTGGGGTAGCCTACATTGCTGCATGGAGCCCACATGAACCCATCCCCTCTTTCCAAACTTCAGGCAAGACCTCAACATGCCATAAGAAATATCTGGCTACTGAAGACAGAAAACTATCCTAATCACAAGACAATATAAAGAAGGACAAAACTGCAAAAATATCTCTACAAACTGAGAAATTAATCTCTGACAGTATAAATAGAAAATTTTTCCCCTAAAAACAAAGGTAATACACCAGCGCCATCTGGTGGAAAAATATATCATCAGCCGTTTAACATGTGCCCAACTTTGCGGGCCCTTTCCCCAAGCAGAGCCCTGGACCTCTGGGGGTGCTTTGGGAGCATCCGGAGCATCTTACCGTGCATTTGTCCTAAGGTCCTGGTGATGTCCTCAATGGAGAGTCTCAGCTGCTGCAGGGCCTGCAGCAGGGTGTCCTGGCTGGTCTGCAAGATGGCGTTCACTGCCTGAACAAGTGCCTGTGGATGAGAGTTCTTTCTCAGTTCAGGAGCATTCCCTTCATGTCCACTGAGGGGAGCAAGCCTCACAGCCGTGGGAACCCAGTCGGGGGCACCCCTCTGAGTGCTGGACTGTTTCAAAGCTCCCTGGGAACACTTCTAAGCTAGACCTACGGTGGGGTCTGCTGAGGGCCAGAGACTCTCTGAGCACCTCCCAGACAGAACCTGGTTAGGCTTCTCTGGATCTTTCCACTTGCTGCTCCCTCTTGGACCTCTCAAGGGCCTGACCTCTATTATTTTGTTTCTTTTTTTCTGGATTTATTGGCCATCATGATCATTTCTACTTCTGCACCCCCAGCTAGGTCATCCTCAGTCTGAAGCTCTGTCTTTCCTAACATCAGACAGATTCTACGGAGGGCCCAGCTCTAATGCACCCTCTGCTGTGAGGCCGTCCTTGTCTTGCAATGTCTCCACCTTATTCAAACTACATTTGGAAGGCCAGCACTTTATTCTGTACCTTCCAGGAGACTAGAAGCATGAATGAGAACTAAAGTAACCATATACTTTCACTTTCGAGAGGAAAGAAGGTGCCGTAATAATTTGCCGGCACTGGTCACCCTACTGAGGACACAGTAGGCACTCAGCATATGCTTACCAGGGGAGGTGGCGAGGGAAGGCGTGAATGCTCTAGCTGATCACAGGACCCTTCACTGCCTTTGTTTTATATCCAGCCTTTCTGGTGCCTGTCCAACCCCTAAAGAAATTCAAATTTGCCACTCCCAGGGCTAGATCATCTCAGGGATGCCTTCCAGCTCTGAATATTTTCCATCTTCCTCCATCAGCAGAGCAGTTTTCTCTGCCAAAAATATGTTTCTCCTCTCTCTCTGTGTGTGTCTGTCTCGCTCTTATACATCATTCAGGGTTTGATGTAGCTGCAATTTCCCTGGGGAAGCTTTGCCTGAACCTTCAAATCTGGATTAGGTTCTAGCTGTCTTTTCATGAAACGTGGCATTTTTTCCTTATCACTCTATATTCATCAGAGCATCTTCCACTGTCAGGGCTGGGTCAATGCCTGTCTTGTTTGCCCTCATTTCCCATTGCCTAGAACAGTGCCTGTTTGTTGAATAGACAAACCATCAATTCCAAGTTTCACCAGAGTTGATAAAATGCACCGACCACCGTGGGCTAGAACCGAGATCTCTCCTCTGGGCCTGTGTTCACCCCCATTGAGTGGAAAGTAAAGCTCAGACTGATTTCTCATTTAAAAGAAAAAAGTTCTGTGAAGTGAGCAGGTACCTTAATCCCAGGAACTGCTGCTGTCTCTACCAAAGCAGTCACCAGTATGAAGCCACGCAGGCTCTCTCCCCCTGGAAATGAGATGATGGTCTCCAAGTTCCTTGAGAAGGAGATGATCACACAGTTAGTGGTTTGGAGATGGTACTGCCCACAGGTCCCTACTGAGTTAGATAACTGCTACGTGGAATCGGTGAGCAACCTTTTCCTCTCCATGGAACAGCCCTGAGGGTAAGCATCCACCTTCAGCAACACTGAGGGAGAAAAGAGAACACATCCATTCAAGCCCAAGTTCACCTGACTTGAGGATTCTCAAAGTCCAGAATGTCCCTGGTGGTCCTAGACTATCCCCCGGTAAAAAAGCCAGCTGGAAGGTGGTGGGCAGTTCTCAGCAAAGGTGTATGTGGTTTTTCACCTGGCTGACTCTGTGGCCTGTCACTTCATTCCTGCCAAAGCCATAGCATCTCAGAGCTGCAGTGGCCATGTGCAATAGCTAATTCCATGTTCCCTTCCTACAGATATGAAACAATGGCCCAGAGAGCAAAAGAGCTTGCCCAAGGTCACAGTCACAGGACCAAGTCAGGAATAGTTTTATAACTCAGGCCAGTGTTCCTCCTAATCCATGGCTTTTTTTTTTTTTTCATTTTTAAACGAAACATTGACTAATAGAGTGGGAGCAGAAAGACTGTTACAGAGTTATTAAATGACTTGTCAGTTAAATGCATTCAAATATCCCAGATGTAGGTCTGGTCTTCAAAACCTAAAAATGTAACTGTATATATCACTTCTACTCCTAACATTTGAAGCATGAACAAAGACAAAAAACAAACTCTCCCGAAAACAAAAACCAAAAATAAGGCAGGACTAATACCGTTCCAGCAATTACATCCCCCCATCTCTTGATCAACAGCATTTACACTGGACACTGTCACTGAGCTGGGGTTTAGCGGTGGGAGAGGCAGCACTGGCCTAGAGGCTACCTGTGCTCTGCAGGGACAGTGGAGCCTCAGGATGTCTGGGCCAGACCCCCACGAGCTCCAGTCCATGTATAACAGGATATTTCAAACATATTCTTCTGTAGCTGTAGCAACCACTGCCTGCAGTTTGGCCTTTTATAGAAGTTATAGTAAGATGAGAAATCTTTTTCAGCCCAATAGACTATAGACAGAGATTAGGTGAAGTCTTATTTGTTTTTCCTTGCATGGCTTTTTCTTGTTTTATTAGGTATAGATCAGAAAATACAATAAAGAAAATTAATCCCCAAATTGCTACAAGGCAGAGGCAACCACTGTTAACTTTTGGACTGTTAATTTTTGGCACATTTCCTTATAGTTTTTTCCATGCATTTTTATATAGTTGGTATACTATACATAAAATTTGGTACGCTTTCCTCCTTGTCTTATTGTAAGCTTTTAAAGTTGGCATGGATTCTAAAGTGAGAAAAGGATTTCTGAGACTCACCCAATTTCCAGGGGTCTAGTCGAATTTCAGTTATTGGCAATCACAGAGAGAAAAAGAAAATAAAAGAACAATTAAGTTTGTAAACCAGATATACCTTCCTGGGTCACAGGTGCACAAGCATGCATGCTCACGTGTCACGGACATGCAGACACATGCACATCCACATGCTTAGGATGTCACAGGTTGTGTAGCCTATGGGCCGCTTCATGAAAGGGAGTGAGCCCATCTCAGCGCACATATGAACCTGAGTGTTTGGCCTGCAGCCATCCTGATAAATTATTTTACTTCTCATATTGTTGCAATTATCACAAGCTCACATTTTACTACAGCTGTCCTACTTATCTTTTAGGACCTGCCTTAGATTACGTTCTGCCTCCTCACCAAGCTTTTTCCTGAATTTTAAAGCCAGTGTTGATGTGGTTTCTCTGAAACCCCGAAGGACATGTTGTCTGCAGCAATCCTGGACACTCGTCATGTGCTGCTGTCTTGTTATGCACCCACTTCACTTGCATTTCTTCATTTCTCCATAGCACTCAGCTCTGTGCTGGGCATCTTCAAAGAATGCAGGTCATTACCAAGAAGAGTAGCTGGCAAGACCCAGTACTGGGTCTGCATCTCTGGGATGAGCCCGCACCCCACTTATGAGGAAACTAGCTTCTTGCTGTTGTATTTTTTACTTTACCATCCGAGCATTTTCCCTTCTCCTCTCCCTCACTCTGAATTGTAAACCCAGCTTTTCAATAGTCAGTGCCTTGACAAGCATAACTTATGCACATATATTTAATGTTTTTTCCCACCCAAATTCTGAGCTAGATTTAGCAGCTTTCAACGGGCACTCATTTCATTACTAAAGCAGAATTGGTCAAAGATCCTAATTAATAATTACAGAAAACATAAAATCACAGGGCTCAGCGGTCCTCAGAGAGATGAGATGGTCCAATCTCTCTTCTTCCAAGGGGCCCATAACTTAGTCCCAAAGGCTAAGCTATATATTAAATGTTTAATCCTTTAGAGTCCCATCATCTTCTCTGGCAATCCCATGGCTACTCATAACCCTTGTGCTGAAAAAGTCCTTCCTCACATCCACCCTCTATTCCCTTCAGCTGTTTTAATCAGTCACAAAAGCAAGTGCTCTCTCTCCCATCTGCAGCCTCAAATAAATTTGGCCGTGAAAATGAGTTCAAAAGGAAACGGACTCTTTACCTCTTCCACACCATTCTATTTACTGGACTGCTCGTTTGTTAAATCTCATGCTATTTTTTCTATAGGCAAATGCCCCATTCCCAGCCCAACTGTCAGAAGAATGACGTAAGCCAGGTGGAATCGATGATGTTGTTAATCAAGCTCTCAATCCAACACACCTAGAGCACCTGCTCTTGATTCATCCATAAGCATTCATTTATGATCACTGTATAATGACTGTTCATTGAAGCCACTGGTCCTACCTTGACTTGAATGAAGGGAATATTAGGGAATAAACAATTTGGTGAGAAAGAATGAGTGACGTCTGATTATGCAGGAGCTTGAAGTTCAGGCTGAGAAATTCAGAAGTAATGGGAAAGCAAAAAGAAAAAAAAAAAGAAAAAAAGGAATCTGGGTGGATGTATACAGTGTGTATTGAAAAGGAACTTCCGGGCCTGTGATTTTTGATCTTGTGTTCAAGTTCACCCTGTATTTGCAACAATAAAGCAGACGACAACAAATGTGCACATCCCCAGTCACTGAGTAGCTGAAAAGCCTGGGTCTTTCCCGCAGGAGGAGTTAAAGCCATAAGACGGCTCCTTCCTGAGCTGCACTCTGTTGAAACCCAAAGCGTTCTCTCCCTCTCTTACCCTTCTGCATTCTTCTTCGTCCAGTTTGTCAGCACCAGGTCTGAGTGCACCAGGATAGGAGGAAGCCCCAAGTTCCTGGAGACTTCCACAAGAGGAAGGGCAAGATTTCTCGGCAGAACCTTTCAAATACAAATCCAGACAATTAGCACATTCTAGAAAGAAGGTGGCCGAGGAAATAACCGTGATTGTCTTTTATTCCAGCAATCCTGTGGAAGAGAACGACATGGGTCTAAACCCGACTTACCGGAGTGATCCACTTTCACTCACCTCACACACATGTCCTTTCTCTTAACGACCCACTGGTGATATCCTTTAGGAGGACACACTGCAACATTCGAGGACACTTCACAAAGTTCGTGGAAAAATAGACTTCAATGAGACTATGAGTCTTTCGTGAACTTTTTGAAGTACCGTCGTAAATAAATATAGATATATAGATAGGTGAAGATATATAGATATAGATATAGGTATAAGTGTAGATATAGATGTAGACACAGGTGTAGGTGTAGATGTAGATAGAGGTACTAGTAGATCTAGACACAGCGTACGTACAGGTGTAGGTGTAGACGTAGGTAGAGGTACTAGTAGATATACACACAGTATACGTACAGGTGTAGGTGTAGACGTAGGTAGAGGTACTAGTAGATATAGACACAGCGTACG